CCCATTTAATTCCATTTTTTCTCATTTTTTTCCCAGTTTTTCACTCCTTTTCACCATTTTTTTCACCGTTTTTCACCATTTTTTTTTAATTTTCACCATTTTTTTACTTTTTTTTCCCCATATTCTGAAGCTCCGCTACCTGGCCCTCTCATCCCATTTTCTCTCTGTGTCTCTGTGTTTTCTTGTCATTTTTCTCCATTTTTTCACCGTTTTCCCCCATTTTTTCATCGTTTTTTCACCGTTTTTCACCAATTTTTTTTAAATTTTCACCATTTTTTTCACTTTTCCCCCCAGATCCCCGAGCTCCCGAAACGCTCCCGCCGGGAGTACCTGCCCCTCCCATTTTTCCCCATTTAATCCCATTTTTTCCCATTTTTTTGCCATTTTTTCACCATTTTTCACCATTTTTTCACCGTTTTTCACCATTTTTTTTTTAACTTTTCCCATTTTCCCCGTTTTTCCCCCCAGATCCCCGAGCTGCGGAAGCGCTCCCGCCGGGAGTACCTGCCCCTCCCATCTCATTTTCTCTCCCTTTCTCTCCATTTTCCATTTGTTTTTCCCCTTTTTTTTACCATTTCTTCCCCATTTTTTCACCGTTTTTTCCCATTTTCCCCGTTTTTCGCCCCAGATCCCCGAGCTGCGGAAGTGCTCCCGCCGGGAGTACCTGCCCCTCCCATTTTTCCCCATTTAATTCCATTTTTTCTCATTTTTTCCCCTTTTTTTTACCATTTCTTCCCCATTTTTTCACCGTTTTTCACCATTTTTTTTTTAAATTTTCCCATTTTCCCCGTTTTTCGCCCCAGATCCCCGAGCTCCGCAAGCGCTCCCATCGGGACTACCCGTTTGATGCTGTTACTTCTGTTCATTTAATTCTGTTTAATCCCATTTTTCTCTGTTTTTTCACCGTTTTTCACTGTTTTTCCTCATTTTTTCACCGTTTTTCACCGGGTTTTTTTTATTTTTCCCATTTTCCCTGTTTTTCCCCCCAGATCCCCGAGCTGCGGAAGCGCTCCCGCCGGGAGTACCAGCCCCTCCCATTTTTCCCCATTTAATCCCATTTTTTCCCATTTTTCAGCATTTTTTCACCATTTTTTCACCATTTTGCACCATTTTTTTACTTTTTTTTCCCCATATTCTGAAGCTCTGCTACCTGGCCCTCTCATCCTATTTTCTCTCTGTGTCTCTGTGTTTTCTTGTTATTTTTCTCCATTTTTTCACCGTTTTTTCCCATTTTTTCACCGTTTTTCCCCATTTTTTCACCGTTTTTCACCGGGTTTTTTTTAATTTTCACCGTTTTTTTCACTTTTCCCCCCAGATCCCCGAACTCCGCAAACGCTCCCGCCGGGAGTACCTGGCGAAGCGCGAGCGGGAGAAGCTGGAGGAGCTGGAGCTGGAGATCCAGGACGAGGAGCTGCTGTTCGGGGAGGAGGCGCTGAGCGGCGCGGAGCTCCGC